TACGTGTCTTGTGACTACTGAGGAAAATTTACTTTGCAGAAGTGTTTTTTGACCGGCAGACAACACATATGGTTTGAGCTTTGTCATGCATTCATAACCTGCTTGGAATGGGGATTTATCACTGTTGCCTGTGCAGTTCTGGTCTTTTTGGCATCAGAGATTCCAAGGTGAGCCAAACCATGACGAAACTGAGTATGCATTCGAGAAGAAGGGAAGGAAATGTTGTTCAAAAATGGCAACGAAACGCGCCTCTCGCTGTTGTCACATCCACGCAGTTTCAGAACGAGAGGTCCATTTATTTAAGGGCATATTTTGAGGACGACTAGACAAATAGTCGTTCCCTTATAGAACTATCCTCTATTGTGTGTCTATTTAGAAAATACGCTGATTGTAAAGAAGTGTTATAAAATTTTTCCTGATACAATCTGTTTTCTGTAACGAAGTTAATCAGTCAAATGACCTTACGGTTGATAATTGGTCTTGTTCTCCAAGTGCTAAGCAGCATACACTTGGGCTCTGCGCTTATTTTACTGACCGTGAAGGCTTGCCATGAAGCTCAAAGCAACTGCTTGCTAGTAGAAAAAAAGTAAAAGAACTTTTTAACCCGTTGGATGTGAACATTCCTTATTTCTCTGACGAGTTTCATTCCGAATATCTTTTTTCATATGGTTGATGTCTTCCTTCTAATGTCATCAGCTTGAAATGCCGGCTTTTTCTTTTTCTAAAAGGCAGTTTATACACTAAAAGCTAGTTTAGCATGACTGACTAACCGATCGACTGACTGAATTCAGTGCTCTTTTCAGTATGCTAATCTTTTCATCAGGTTTGCTGCATAAGGTTTGTGCCAGACATTGTGAGAGTTTTATGATTGCGTTTGTCAATGTTTTACTTAAATCGACGAGTTGTTTACTTTTTCGGCCACTAATCCGTGTAAAGTAGTTTTTAAGGTATATTGTTACGTTTAACAATAACGAATGACTCTTCAAAGACCAGATTTCACGGCGTATTGCACCGCTTCTTGCTCTTAGTTGCCTGTGGAAGGTGGCATTAAGGCAGATTATGGTTCTATTGTATTTCAGCATATGCACTGGCAGATGCATCTTGCGTCAGTTTTCACTCGCTAGTCAACTTTGCGCATGGGGATGGTACATTAGTTCGTGAAATCTGATCTTTAAGTAATTTTTTTTATTTTTGCTTATTGCATTTTTGATTTTGATGTTTTTTGATGAAGACAGTTGATGATTAGTTACTTTTGTTTAGAAGACTTCGATCTGCTGTTACAGTTCTTGCGGTGAGTACCTGGCGGCAGCATTCATGAACGGTGCTATCGCCGTATGGGAAGTGAATACCAAACAGTGCCTCCAGAGGTTAGCTACTGCTTTGTCAGCGAGAATCGTTGAGAAACGCTTTAACTAATGTTGACTTTGAAGGCTTTCGCACCCTAAAGAAACCGTAATTAGTTGTTTGATCTGGAACCCGTCTCTCAGCAGTGGCAGCGATCTGCTCTTCTGTGACGTTCAAGGCTTCATTGGCGGATTTAAAAGCGTTGTGCGGTTTCCAGTAGTAGAGCCGAAACCAAATGAGGTGCCGCTTTCTGCTGTAGCACCGACTGCAGTTAAGAGCAACGATCATGCAGATAACAAGGAGAACGATTATGATTCTGATATTGAGATTTCATGCTCTACCCGCAAAGCTGCGAAACAGATCGTCGATGACGAAGATTCTCAAGGTAAAGTAGTCAGCGCTTGACTGTTTGACAACTTCTTGTTTTAAATGACGTGGTTCTTTCTTGAGATTCGGACATTGGTGCTATCAAAAGAGCCTATGAGACGATAATCAACCCTCCTGAAAAGAGTGAAACCGATTTTTCCAAGGTACCGGCAGAAGTTATCTACACAAAAGGATGGGAGCCGACAGAGCCAAGAAAGCCTTTCATGCCAGGAGCAATGCCTGAACGATTCTCAGAGCGTTATTTGGTATGTTTTCTCGAAAACGAAATAACGGAAGCTATTTCTTATTAAATAAAATCCTAGATTTTTTTTGAATTTCGGTGTTGTCAATTGACGTGACTTGTTGCTCATTTATACAGTTTAAATACAGGTGTAAATTAGAGTTTTCTTCGATGTTTATGAATATCCGTATTATGTATATGATACCGTTCACATCGGTGGTTGATCCATGCCGGTATCGACCGAAGTGATTTGCGGTTCAGTTTAAGCTGGTAATGCCGCGAATTTACTGGATTATTGTTAGACCTATCCAGATAAGAAGCCTCGCATTGTTGTCTGCGTGCTTCAGTTTGCGCAGAGGCTTTGATATAGGCTGAGGCTTAGATTGTATTGCGGTACAAATCGCACATTGCTAATCTGGGCTGGAAAGCAAGTTAGTTTCGGTCCGTACTGCTATGGACGAATTATCATTCTGAACGGTAATATATGCATACAATATGTATTGACACTGGTATACTTAGTATATGCCGTAGTACATTGTCATATAATGGTAATAATACCCCTGTAAAGTTTTCATTTCGTTCAGAGTTGACTAAAGTTTAGTTTATAGCGTTACTGTTATTCAATAAGCGAATAGTACATACATCTTATAGATTATCTAAGAAATTTGATCAACTTCTTACTGTCACATCGATGCTATGCCGTGAATTGCTGGAAGCTGGCGAATTTTTTTATTCCGTAGGTGACGGTGCCAATAACATAAAAATTCTCTGTTTCTGCATCACGAATCTTATTCGTGTCATTTGTGCTACAGACCATGAAATCAAATCATGCTACAGATCTTTTTAACAGTATTTAATCTTATCTTTTTTGCGGATTTTCCTAGCTGAAGATTCCCAATTCATTCGTCTTCTTTGTGCGCCTTCAGGCTTGATGCGACTCGCGTTATGTTTTTCGCCACAGCAGTCTTCAGTGAGTTTCAGGAGCTCATTCTAATGTTATGACATACATACCACCTGTATATAGTCGGGCGGTCGGTTGGTCACTCAGTCAGTTTCGATAGTCATACTTTCGGGTCGAGAAGGCAGCATCATCAGACTCTGTTCAAAGTGTCTCCTGTATATCTGTATATCATACAGTTCTTTAGCAGACGATAACCCGAGTTTGCAGCAAAATTCATCGAGTTAATTGTTCTAAGTCATTGTTGGCCTTCTCCAGGGGTCATTGGCCGCTCAGTTCAGCAGTTAATAACTGATATGGCATAGTCTATTAAGAATTGTTGCAGTATGCTCTGCGCATATACACTAGATAATGCTCTTCCAACAGTGTTTTTCGTCTATATGCTATTTCGTAATATTTCCTTAAACACAATCAGAACATATATGCATTTTGGTGTATGCTAAAACTGTAAATGTGGCATAATAGCAATATCAATACTTTATACCTTTTCTACAATAACAACGTTACGTATAGTTAAGCCAACTACAGTTGGTATACTGTATCTGTTATTGCAGTATGGGCAGTTAGCATTTGTGTAGAAAGAGTAAGCTTACTGGGCTTGTCTCTGATACTGTTACCAAGAAAAAGACGCGGCGCCAGGAGAACCACATCGTTTACTGGATGCAACAGTAAACCATTAATGAAAATCTTATAAACCCAAAGGATTTAGCGCAGAATAATACATCATGCCATTTACCTTCTGAGTAGTAAAAGAAAATTTATGATTATATGGTTATTCATAAAGAGTTTTCTGCAGTAAGGTATTAGATTATATGATATATTGCATTTGACAGTTATATGTATAGTATAGTGCAGTACTTAGGTATCAAATTCGTAAAAATTTGTTTTCTGTACTAGAAGTGCTATTTATCTTAAAATTTATTGCTAGCATGTTGAGCATAAAGTACTCGTACCGCGTAGACTATGTTACATTTAAGTCTTTGTAGTAAATATTACAAATAGCATAATAAACTATGGTAAATACTGTAATACCTATGTCTAACTTTTCCAACTCCATGTATCTGTATGTTTTCCTGCATTTTCTTTTCGTATCCACCCCACTATCATATGGAGCATGCATAATACTATGCATACTGTAGCTAATTTCATAATTTGTAGAAAGTTACTTTCTTATATGGTATGAGTACCACGTTTCACTAACATAACAGAATTGACAGTGGTATTTCTTGCTGCTTCAGAAAGGCCTGTTTTGTTTCAGATGTGGAACAGCATCGGAATCATTAAGCTTTATAACTCGGAAGAAGACAGCACCATCGACGTAGAATTTCATGATACGTCTTTTCATCATTCGCTGCATTTCTCCAATACTTTGACAGACTACTCGATCGGTGACGTGTCAGCTGAAGCGGTTGCTTTTGCCTCCCGCTCTTCAAAGGATTCTAGGAGGTACGTATTTCCATTGAAAGCGAAATTAAAGGCTTAATACGATGCTGACGAATGGAAAATATATGTTGAAGGCATATGACACTAACTTTTCTGCAAGATCTCATAAGAATGTAGTATTAAACATAATTGAAGTTGAATAAACTGATATCAAATATTGCATAGATATCAAAGTATGTTGGTTCATAGGAATGTGTCAGACACCCCATAACTCCTT